AGGAGGAGGGGGAGGAGGAGGAGGAGGAGGAGGGGGAGGTTGAGGAGGAGGTTGAGGAGGAGGAAGAGGAGGAGACCTGGGACCTTAGACCAACTCATGGAATCCTGACTGTGCACCCTGCGGCACTGCACCACCGCCTGAACTCAAGCTGCAATTCGACACGCACTAGGACTCTGAGGCGGGTCACGACGGACCCCACTTCACTCACTAAGGCGAGACCTTCGCTCACCCCAGCAGAGGCACTGGCCCCGTCTGACAGGCCAGCGGGAACGCAGCCCGCAAGAGGCCGTCAGCCCACAGGCTCAGGAAGCTCATCTCCTCCCCCGCCCCCGCTCCGACCCACCACCCCGCCCCCTTCTTCTATAAAACAACGAGCGGCTACGGGCCATCACTGCAGCTGGGATAGGCGGCAGCCCAGGGTCACTGCATGTTGCAGCAGCGCCCCAGGTCGGCCCAGCACACCTGGTGCCACCAATCCTCTAGACATCAACTCTTGCAGCCGCGAGCTCGTACTCGAGCTCCGTCGGACTTGTTCACCCAGGCCATAAGCTCCCGCTCGATGCCCCCCCCCCTTCGGAGCCGATCCCAGCAAGAACTCTCCGCCCTCGGCCTCGATCACCGCCTCCAGGATTCGAGACGCTTCCACTCCCGTTGGCTTGTTGAAGCCCGTCCTCACCATGATGGTGCACCTGTTCTCCTTGCGCAGGGGCTTGCACCTGAAGTGCGGCACTCCCCCCCCCCCCCCTCCCCGATCACCTTCAACGGCATTTCCTCGGTCATGTACTGTGTCCACCAGTCCTTGCTGTCCTGCTTGAGTGTCTTCTCGGCCCCCTCCGTAGGCCCCGCTGTAGGAGTTCGTGTGGCGCAATACTGCATTGCCGACGCAAATCTATGAATGTGTGGCGGCCCCCTCGCATTGAAGTCCTGCTCCGCTCCCTCGGCCTGCTTGGCCCTCATGCCCTTGCTCTGGTCGTCGCACTTCTTGCCTGGCACAGCCAGGCACGCTGGAAGCCCTCGATCGAGGGCGATGTCCCACCTGAGGAACACGACGCTGGCCACGTACCCCGAGCTCGCGCGCCACGGTGAGCAGCAGGCGCACAACCTGCGCCACCACCTTCGCCATGTCCTTGCCGCCCTTGCCGCCCCTGTCGTCCTTCTTGGCCGCCTTCGCGCGGCCTCCCGCCGCGCTGCCTGCTGCTCCAGCGCTGGGCGGCCCTGCATTGTCGCCCTCGCGCTTCTTGCCGCTGAACCACGATAGCATCGCCAGCTCCATCTTGGGCCGCTCTCTGACGCGCACTATGCCCGGTAATGAATGGAGGCAACTTCCACGGAAGATGCTCAGCAGCCAAATGGTTACATAAATCAGGGAGACCACCAGATTCATAGTCACATAATGGCCACTTCAATGATCGAGGCTGAAGTAACTCTCCCAGCGCCCAAGGCCCAGTCGTACAACAACTGCCCCTCAGAATTGAGCCCAAGATTTACCCGAAAATACCTGACTACAGTGCACACATATGTTTGCCGGCGTGATCACATGTGCTAGACTACGTGCATTATGATGAGCCCTGTAGTGAATCATTAATGCTTTACGTGTGTGAAAAGCAGCCATATAAGGCCGTCTTCGTGCGTGCTCTGCATCTAAGCTGTGGATCCCCATCAGGAGCTGCTGGAGGTCTCTCAAGCCTTTCCGGCGCCAGTCGGAAACCTGTTGGTGGGACCTGAACCCGAGACCTCGAAGCCCTGGGCACTGATATATCTAGCATGCGCAAATTCTCCATCTCCTCCTCATTAATGAACGTATTCATGTCATTAAGCAGCACATCGATCGCCTCGCTATCGGCGACACCTGCGGCAAACTCGAGATCGTGCGTCATCTGGCTCAGCCGCGGGGAAGCTGCCTCGGATGGAACCCCCTCGAGCAACTGCGGCGGGAAACCACGCTCTGCCTCGCCCTCTAGGTCCCCGAACATCGCGCGCAACGGCTGGATGTGATGATCGGGTCTCGCTGCCCATCTCTGGTACCACTTCAATCGACGAGTTCTCATCTCACACTCGCTGTCCAAGAGTCGCCAATAGAGAAGGACCTGGGAGTGAGAAAGGGACCTCGCGCGAGTTTCCTCGGTGTGCGCGGCGCGACCCGGCGACGCAGCCCGAGCCAGTGAGGCCAAGCAACTGTCCAAACGACGGTAGTCGGCCTTGCTGAGAACAAACGTTTCCAAGCCAGAGAGGGGGACATTC